CTGAGTGTCACCTTGTGAATGTGAGAGTACGACCCCGTTACACTATTTTCCCCTTTCCATATTTCCTTTCTATTTCATTCCTCTTTTTATCCTCATTCATTTGGTCTTTATCTCATCTCATTTGGTTTCCTATTCCTCCTTTTACATTATCCTTTGGTTTATCCTGTTATTATAATTATATCACCGACCTGGCTCGGGATGTACTGGCGCGCTCTATCTAGCGTAATCCTGCCGTAATCCCTTAAAGCCAATAGCCTCGCGTGGCTATACGCAGGGTGATTCTATTTCTAGAAGGGTCTATTCTCTTTGGATAGGATAAGCCTGGTTACCTGATGTATTCTGGAAGTATAAAAGCACCTTGTACTGATTGATAGTGCAACATTGAGCAAACCTTTCCTCGACACATTCGATCCTGTGACACTTGGTAATCAGAGCCAAGGTTTCAGCTCAACGCTTAACCGCTGGGCCCCCAGGAGCACGCGGAGGATGGATTCGAAACTTCAATTCCTGTAAGTACAATGCACTTTCATTTAAGTTTCGACTCACCTCTCGCAGTTGCACCTGGGGTCCCCTTCGAAGGCGAGATGCCTCGCCAACCGTTCGATGGATTGCATCGACGGTGCCGATGTTTCGCGGGGGCAAACGGCCTCGACCTGGCGAGCGCGTCAGTTCCGGCGGAACACTCCCTGCGACATTCGGAGAAGTTCGCAGTTCGCGACAACACTTGGAGTTGCGCGGAACTCTGCGGAGGTTCGACCGACGACATCCGTCCGATGGGGATTCGACGCTTCAGATCAACCGAGGCGAAAACGAAATCCATCTGAGCGAGTTTGCGTTTCGGCGCGAATGGGAACGGGACCTCGCAAGCCGTGAAGTAATTCGCAGCGTCCGATCGTTCGACAGCCGACATCGACGACCGAGAATTGCTTCAGGAAACGAGTCAACCCGGGCGCCGAAAGCTGCTGAACGCGACTCAGGACTGTCTTCAGATCGCTTGGAGTTTGGACCGTCGGATCGACTTCTTCTTCAACGGACGAGATGGAGCGCGATTTCTGGACAAAGGGAGAATGACGCACAGAACAAGAAATCAGCCGCTTTCGGCACCGTTGTCAAAATCCTTCATCTGATGACAAGTATGGCGCGCAAATCATCTGCAGAGTCAGAAACCTGCCAGAGCATTACCTTCTTGGTAATAGCTACAAGCAGAAAACTGACAGGAGAACGTGGATCGTCGGATCGTTGCGGAATCAACGGCACGAATGCAGCGGAGACCACAATATGGGAAAACATCACAATGGAGACAATATTCGTGACCAGCGACTGCACAATCGACGCATCTTCTGACTGGTATCGATAACGATCGAATTATTTTGACGAGGTCATCTCCGTTAAAAATGAATCGACATCAACTCGACAGGATCTTCACCCAGGAAAAACAATGGAGCTGCGTGAAGACATGTTCTCCATCCACGAGACACTTTTTCATACAAATTGATCGACAAGTTATGGGATTGCAGAGAAGTAGCCGTTTTCTCTTGCAATGCTCCGAAGTTCAAGTTGCTGCGAAGGAGCAGATTTCGCACGCAACGCTGACGCAGTGAACCCGTCTCGTCAAGGCCAGCGAGACACTACTTCGTAACAGGAGCTGAACGATTCATTTTCATCAAGAATCTCAGCCATCCGAGGTGATTGATTGGAGCAGTCTCAACATCGACCTCACGAGGCGACACACCAATCATGCGTCGCGATTCCAGGTGTTAATGACCTGTGTGGAAGAAAATTCCGTGCACGTCACGATGCTTGACAGATTGAGGAGTAATTAACCTCTAATCCGGCAAGTACTCGCTCACTAGCGACCCTACGGCACATGCATTGGAGGCGATTCTACCAGAAGCCGAAGCGTTACAGGCATCAGCGTAACTTCGACGATGCAGGAGAACGTCAAGCAACACGAGGTGTCAACAAATGAGGAAGATACGGACTACTGCAACACGATCACGCGCTCTACCGACCGTACATCGGAGGCACGGATGAGCATACCAGGAATTGCTACCCGTGGATACTTTGAGGGGAGAAGCAAATTTCTCTTCACACCCTCAAATGAAACAATCACCGGCAGCAATGGAGCAACACATGTGTACCAATGTGCACGTGTTCCTGGTAGTTACGCCTGTTACACCCATCAGGAACACTCTACTGGGAAGGGGGAGTTGATGGATTCTCCTTCAACCGGTACGAGTTAAGAGAATTCTCTGCAGCAGCTGCCGCCGTCGCCGTCGTCGCTACCGCCGCCGCCGCCGCAGCAGAAGACTCGACACAACAGTCACAACCAAATCCTGATGGACGATTCTCCGCTCAATGGAGATAATGCTGGATTATATTCCAGTGGATCGTAAAGTCCCGGCCAGGCACAGTACTATGATTTCCAGCTAGTGGGAAGGAGATACCACTATGCGAGGGAACATCATGACAATGCCATATACCCTCAAGAGCAGAAGGTATTTGCTCTTATGAGGATGGAAGGACCACGGTACTCTACCAGTATACAAGTCCTCATGGCCTATGGCTTTCCTTAAAGTCATAAAACCTGCGTCGCAACCAATCCATCATCAGCACCAACTCCACGGAAGCAGATAGGCGTAAAATGGAGCGCCGACGCCACTCCGGACAGTGGACTCCGCGTATCTCCAACAACACCCCTGTTTGCCGAAATGGAGCAGACTTCAACACTGATGCTGAGTAGCTGAGACATCTTCTACATCAACGCTACTTCAAGGGCAGTGACAGAATAAGACAACACATGATGGCACCAGAAGACCTATCCCAATATGTGCGCCCAGACACCGATGCCTACCGATGGCCTCCGTGCTAAACTGGAAGTGCATAAGGTCATACTGGATTGGCTGTCACCAATGCCCATTTGGAAATGGGAGAGGATTATTTGGGAATAGCCCCAACATTCCCAGATGTCCTAACCCAACACCGTGGGATATCTACGCAGCTGAGATTCCTTGCTTGAGCAACCACCGAGGGAAACTACAGTACCTTGGCGCCGATTCTGGAAATTACCAGCTCCGCGTTTGTGGTACCAACCCCTCGCATGGTTCTGAACACAAGGGATACGCTGAGCAGCACTTCGCATGCGCTGTTGTACTCAAGGCAATGTGATTAGCAGATCGCGTGGTGGATAGAGTTACTACTCGTGATTCTGCTCTCCAATCCGCAGCACTCCGATGCCCAGTGGGTACGACTCGCGACAACACTACGGCATGGACCAGTATTCGACAGAAGCTGCATGTAACGGATACAACACTGCTACAGAAGCAGTACTACGACACAACTGCCATACCACCAACACTTGGAGATCTTCATACGTGGACCAGATGCGGGTAACAGCATGCACGGATCGGACAACATAGCCATTCATCTGCACGTTACAGCACACTGTTCCAACCATTCACATCTCCAACTCCGACTTGCATCTGCCCGTCCTGGAGTTTGCCTATAAGTATGCTCCTGACGCCGCTACTGGACAGACGCTGTACTTCGTCTGTTACGGACACCACCCGATCACACCACAACAGCTAACCATACCAGCCACAGTCCAACTGGCTTCCGATTTCATCGTCATCGTCCACCATCTTGTACATCGACCACACAAGCGCCCTCTTGGACATCCAACAGCAGCACAAGCACTTGGCAACTCATCACTACCCTTCTCGAGACCATAATCTCGACATCAGCCAACTTCCATCCAACCTTCAACCTTGCTTCTGCGGGTCTATCCTCGTTGAAGCAACGGTCCCTTCGGTCAACTTTTGCTTCCGCCTACCAGCCACTTGGAAGATCCATAACGCCTTCCATACCAACTTCTTAAACCCTATCAAGACCAAACACGCCCTACACCGAATGCCAACCAGCGTCGTCGCCTGTGTTCATCCACGACATGGGACAACTACGTGCTTGGACACCGTCGTCATCGGAATGGCACTCTGGAGCTTCTTCTTTGGTGGAAGGGTTCTGATCCTTCTGAGGCTGCATCTCTGATACGACATGGATAACGCCCGTCGTCCTCTTCGCGACTACCTTGTCAAGCAGGGTGTTACTTCTACCACCCAGCTTTGAGGGGGGGAAGTGTGAGAGTACGACCTCGTTACACTATTTTCCCCTTTCCATATTTCCTTTCTATTTCATTCCTCTTTTTATCCTCATTCATTTGGTCTTTATCTCATCTCATTTGGTTTCCTATTCCTCCTTTTACATTATCCTTTGGTTTATCCTGTTATTATAATTATATCACCGACCAGGCTCGGGATGTACTGGCGCGCTCTATCTAGCGTAATCCTGCCGTAATCCCTTAAAGCCAATAGCCTCGCGTGGCTATACGCAGGGTGATTCTATTTCTAGAAGGGTCTATTCTCTTTGGATAGGATAAGCCTGGTTACCTGATGTATTCTGGAAGTATAAAAGCACCTTGTACTGATTGATAGTGCAACATTGAGCAAACCTTTCCTCGACACATTCGATCCTGTGACAGTGAAGGCTTGTGATGTGGTGGATGTCTCCAGGGAGGGATAAGGTCAGATCGCAGCGGATAATGGCGAGTGTCTTTACGGCATGTACCGTAATCCCCCGTATATAACACCCGCCGAAATAGTCACTCCATGGGTGGATTATGCGGGGGAGAGCTTATGATAGGGTGCATTTTGGAGAGCACCCGCTTTTTGGGGGTTGCATTTTACACAACACCCTGCTCGTTTTATGCAGCAAAGAACAGTATTTCATCGTTTATCAAGCTCAGCTCGATTGAAAAAAAACGAGCAGGATGAAAAATGCAATGACAACTACTATTAGCAGCGAAAAAGTGGGCAGAAAAATCAGCACAAGTTGCAGCGGGAAATCGAAACGTCAGCAAAGGTCGAGACTTGGAAGTGTAAGATTTTGACAGGTGGTGCAGCAGACTAAGTATAGAATCTGCAACCACAAGTACTTAACCAAGGATCTTTGCTGGAATGGTAGACTAGTAAGACAGCGGAAGTCTTATAGGAGTGAACCTGAGCACATGAACTTGTGGGTAGTCGAAGGTTGAATAACCTGAGCACATAATTCTGTGGAAAGTCAAGGTTGATAATAGAAAGGCATTACAAGGATTTTATAGCTCTAGGAAAAGTATCTGTTCGCTAATGTATCTGTTCGTCACTATCGCGCTATGCGACCTATTCGTCATATTATAGGGTCGCGACTGTTCGCGTGATTGAAGCGACTCGTTACGCCTAATCGCGTAACTGAAGCGGTATGCTGACGTCATTGACTAGACGCGCGATGCTTTGCTGACATCAGCACTCAGACCTGTTTCCTTGCCAAGAAACTCGATACTGCTAACTACACAAAAAACCGAACTTGCAGGAATGCAAAACTTCATTTATCACAACAGGGAGGATTTCGACCGTCGAAGTCGCGGATTCTGTTGTGATTTGACGGTCAAAATCCTCCCGAGCGAAATCCTCTCAGGTCTTGACGGTCGCAGGTGCGGCAAAAACCTGCCCCTGACCACAGCACTCAGCAGGGATTGGCCAACGATGTCTGGTTCGTGAGTTTCGTCTTAGTGGGTGCTATACCTCGTTAACAGCCGCTCCGCACAGTTGTGAACACACATGGCCTGAAACGCTCAAATTCAAATTGCATTTTACATAACACATGGGCACTAAAATTTTCCGGGCCACTGTTAACACCCAGTCATTTTTTTAGTGAACTTTTATATACACCATAGGGTGTTATTTACGGGGGATTACGGTAGCAGCGAGAGGGACTACGGGAGTGTGCTGAGCGAGTGCTGACAGCTGCCCGAGAGCCCTTGGCAGCTGAAAATCTCAAGGTGTTCGAGACGAGAGAGCTGAGCTGACACAGAGAGCAGGGCAGGTGAATGAGGTGGCCGCACCCACTCAGCGCCAACCCAGATTCAGTTCTCCTAGGGAGGGCAGTTGCGTGACGGAAGCAGGCAGCTGATCAAGAGAGTAGGACAACACTATAAGGTGGCAGAGGCTCAAACTGTAAAATGACAAATGGTGGGTCCTCATGGGGTAGGCTACAATAAGAGTGACCACGTCCAAAGAATGTACCAGCAGGACCTTCGTCTTGGCAGGCTTTCTATGAGGGAGCTTCCAGTATCCATAAGAACCGTCAGAGTTAAGAGACACGCATGACACCTGTTGGAAATCTCAACATGGAAAGACACGACCACTAGTAAGCCTCATCGTATGTGTGAGAACATGGACCCAGATGAGGGTTATGGTAGGAGAAGGTATGACTGGACAAGACATTTGAGGATAACCTTAAGGGGATACGGAATGTGCACCGTTAACAACCAAGTACAGCATGCTGTGCAATAGGGAAGGGGACACAACCTATGGCTTTCCTGCAGAATGTGGCGCAAGGTGTTATCAGCAGGGAGGCATAGAGACCGGGCGTGATGTGCGGGCCTCAGCTCACACACATGTTGTGAAATTCCACGACAGGATGTCATGTCTTTGTGCCTGGCTGCTGGAGATGGCGACGAAGCCGAAGAGGAAGAGAGAGTCGGATGCAGTGGGCTTGAGAGCGGAGCAGAGAGACACGTTCACTGTGAGGGCGGGGGTGAGGGGCTGCACGGGGTCGGAGGAGAGGAAGATTCGGAGAGTGCCGCCGCTGGTGGGGTCGTAGTGGATCCAGGCGTGCTTGGTTTGGGCGTCGTTGAGGATGAGAGGGGCCGTGGCAGAGGCGAGGGACACAGGTGAGCCGCCCACATTGACGCCCACGTGGTTGTCGTTGGGATCCCTGTGCTTCACACTCAGCACCGAGTCAAACTCCACTCCCATACTCCGACGCCCCACCCCTCCCAGCCCCACAATCGCCCCCTTGTCAGAAGCAACTGCTGCCACCACAAACGCCAGCCCCTCTCCAACCGCCCCCTGTCCCCCGGGACTCATGACAAAGCTGAAGGCAGCAGTGAATGCAAGCTCAATCCCGCAAAGAGAGCTTTTCCGCGGGAAGTAGAAGAGGCGCAGGGCGGGAGATGCAAAGGCTGCTCCATGCTGGTTGGGCGCCCCTCCTGTGAGCAGAATGGAGCCGTTGGAAAGCACAGAGGCAGAGCCCTGGAGAGACACATAGGCAGAGCCCTGGAGAGACACAGAGGCAGAGCCCGACGCCAGAGATGCCCCGACGGCTGCAAGTGCAAGGGGGGCACACAATAGGAAGGAGGTGTGAGGAGCGCATTGATCTCTTCGGAATGTGGTGGTCAACATATGTGAGACAAATCTTAATGTGGTGGGTGTGGAAGAGACAGGCACACACCTCCAGCCACACAGGAGTTGCTGTTGCTGCTGTTGAGCATGTAGTTGGGGTCGCATACACACTCTCCAGCTGCGGTGAATGCGTTCACAGAGCAGTAGCCATGCCCCCCACACTCAGGGCCAGCAGCACCGACCTCCACCCCACAGAATGAAGCACATCCAGCAGCGGGCCTCTGGATGGAAGCACGGTCGCAAACTCTCAAAGAACCCGCCAGGCAGTTTCCAGACGTGTCCCACACGACCGCTGAGCAGTTTCTGAACTTGACCTCGCCGTGCGAGAAGAAGTTGCCATCCACTCGGAACTGCGTTAAGCGTGGACTGGAAGCACTGGGCAGGCGGCCGGAAAACTGGTTGCCTGATAAGTACCTGCAAGGTAGGGGGTTGGGGGAGAGTAAGGATGTAAACGAGTAAGGATGTAAACGAGTGTCGAATCCGAGTACGAGTACGTTAGCCGAGTACTGTAATGAAGGATCAATTCAGAAATATTGTTGGGCTTGCAGATAGGTGGACGTCGTGTAAGTTAGGGTTGGGCGACATGCTTTCACGCGTAAAACATTCCGACAATTTAGGTCAAGATGTTTCAACTCTGGGGTGGGATATGAGGAGGCTGGGGTGGTGGAAGGACCCACTGGAGATGGGGTACACCTGGCTTAGCTATACAACACGCAAGTGTTCTCTCAATGTAGCAAGTACGAGGGAGAGTGATAGTGCAGGCCGTGCAATCAAGTGTGATGGCACTGCAATCTGCTCGATGAAACTACAGCTCTCCATGAAAGGAAACAATGGAACGTCCATGAGGTGCATCCTCATGTTCTTTCTCTCACCATGCTAGTACGGACCACTGGCAGATTCGTTCTGAAGGAGGACTCGTTCCAGTGGCTCTTCTTCCCACACGTGCCTAGGTGAAGCCCTAAACACAGTAACGGGCCATGCAAGGTGATTCTCTGTTATACAACAGTTCGGTGACACCTATTTTCTCTCATGGATGTTTCATGGAACGCACCGTGTGGACAGGCCGGCCCGGCCCGAGCTGATTTTATTCCGGGCTCGGGCCTCGGTTTTGGCTGGCCTGGCCCGACCCCCGACATGGACCGAGCCGGCCCAAGGCCCTGTGCGCTCTGTTGACGACATTGACGATGCCCGCCAAGGGCCAGCGGGCCGAAACCCCTGTCGACGAGCCGAAGTTAGGTCCGAGTCGCGCAGGACGTTTTTTTCCTCCCATCCGCACGGATCAAGAGGCGAAACGACAAGTCTGAACGCTTAGTGGTCGCGCAAATCGGCGGGAAAACACAAGCCCGAGGGCCGCTAGGCATGTCACGGCCCGGGGACGGACCTAACCCAGCCCGTCCAGTCCACTGTGCTCGGGCCTCGGGCCTCGGGCCAGGGTGGAAGCCAGCCTGGGCCTGCCCGACCCTGGCCCTTGATAATGCTTGCTGGTTCTAGATAATGTCGGTGAAAGGAGGGTGCACACCGACGAAGCAATTGTTGCGAATGCCTCAAACTCCTTGCGAATGACATCGGCCAGTGCTGCGCGCCGATGCATTCTGACCTCAGCAACGGTGGCAGGCTCGAAGATAGGGGAAGGACGCTGCAGCAGCAAGAGCATGGGTGACGAGCGTGAGAGCGGGGGTATGGGTGTGAAGAGCGAGCAGCTCAGTATGTGTATCTTCAAGAAGGCGAGGAGCGAAGCTGGTACTGTAAATGCCTGAAAGTGCTGCTGTCAGGCGGTATTCGGCACTGGTGCACATCGACACCGCCACTCTCTACCACATGACAAAGTCGTTAAAGTGCAACACTGTTGGGTTGTTGCTCGGCACTGCAAGTAAACTGCTGCTCGGTGCGGCTGTGCCATTGGCTGGTGATCCATTGGATGGTCAGAGAGAAGAGGGAGGGGTAGAGACGTTGGAGATGAGGGCGAGAGGAGCAGAGGTTGCGCCTAGTATAGGTTGTCAGGAGCGAGTATGGTGGGGGAAGAGGACAAAAGAGAAGAGGTTGATGGCACGGCTAGGAGGAACATGCATGGCTATTGTTGTAGCATGGGTGGGTGAGCTTGAGATAGGAAAACTAGGATGCTTGATTGCTCCCACAAGGGGACACCTACAGCACAGAGAGGTTCCTCATGGCTCGTACGATGGGCTCGACGGGGCCGCACAACATATTGTAGCCCACAAGTCTGCGCAGCACAGACACGAGTGCACATGCATGGGATGGAGGAAGGCAACATACATGCCCGGACTGAACGCAGAGCAAGCATATACTGCCTTGCCAGGTTTAGGTTGGGCAGCATACGTATGCCAATTGGTTGTGGAGCAACGAGCTACATGCAAGTAGAAAACCGATGAGGATGACGGAGGGGAAATGACAGCGAACTACATGCAAGTCTAGATGTAGTATTTGGGATTCATACAACTCTCGAAGCTTGGAGAGATTGCTGAGGGTGCTGGGGATGGTTCCACACAGCTGGTTCTCTGAGAGAAACCTGCTCGTGTGGTAGGCAGCGACAGATGCTTCACGCTCACACCTGTGCTTGTAGAAAATCACAAGTTTGAATTTTACAAGTGGCGGGGATGCATGGTGCCACATCTCGTATGTGCTTTCGAAGGCATACGATAAGTGAGATTTTTAAGCATACGAAGGCACGGAAATCCGTGACTCCTATTTCCATACAAGCCAATCAGGTTGGTAAGTTTCCCAAGGGCTGTGGGGATCGATCCGGACAGTGAATTGGATGACAGGAACCTGGTGGCATGCAGGCAGAGGAGACAACGCGCATGAGGCGCAATGCATAGGGTGAAACGGTGGTCTCCCAAGGAACCTAAAACAGGCCGGCACAGTGGCAACAATCATACAGTTTTGAGCCAGCACGAGCATAGCTGTTCTAAAAGCATCGTGAGGCGATGCGAGCAGCACAGTCGTCCTACAGGTATTGCAAAAGAGGCATATCGCCCAACACAGCAGGGATGCTTCCCGACAGCTGGTTGCCCGTGAGTGCACTGAAATATGCTCAGACCGGGGTTGAAACAAAGAAACAAAAGAGAGACGGCAGTTCAAGAAAATAGGATTGAGATGCAGAGAAACGTGCGTGGGACGGATGAGGGCCTGAACCGAATCAAAAGGAGAATGACTGCAATGTGATGTGCCCGAGATGCACATCTGCCTGGGTAGGACTCCGATTAGCCCGATCGTAACAAGAGTGCACTTTACAGGCGCTCCAGCTGCTGCAGTGATGCGAGGGATGCGGGAATCGAACCGTGCAGAAGGTTGCGCTCCAGCATGCTGGGGAGTGCAGCAAACAAATCATGACGAGTAGCCAGCCAAAGGATAATAGATGAAAATTTAACAGCGGGTCCAGTTGTGCTCTTCAATTTGTTGCAACAATGCTAGGTGAACGGTTTTGGGGACGTCAGGCACTTGCACCCGCAATATGATTGGCAGGCCATCAGCAAGTCGCATGAGAGACTACAAGACAAACGAGCAACAGTGTGAGTGTATGAGCAACTGCAAGCCTAGGGGGAAACCATTGACACATGCAGTGAAGTCAAGGTGCAAAAATACGGCAACCGAAGAAAACGGGCCGTATGAAACGGCCGTTTTTTTCGGTGATTTGAGGAAAAAAACGCCGAATTTTTAATAGACGAAAATGTGCTAAACAAAAAAAACCCTACTCTGACTAGTAAACAGGTGGGGACAACTGCCATGGGCTTTCTAACGTCAAAACAACATCTAAATGCGGCTACAGATAGAAACGCCACTACATTCGATAAGTCTACGTCCGCCTCCTCGAAGGTCCCCCCCTCCTCCTCCTCCTGCAGGTGTCTAACTCCCCATCCTCATCCTAAGCCTCCCCCTTCTCCACCTAAACCTCCCCCCTAATCCTCCTAGGCTTCCTCGTGAGACTCCCCCTCTTCCTCCTCCTCCTCCTCTTCCTCCTCAGCCTCCTCCTCCTCCTCAGCCTCCTCCTCCTCCTCAGCCTCCTCCTCCTCCTCAGCCTCCTCCTCCTCAGTCTCAGCCTCCTCCTCCTCCTCAGCCTCCTCCTCTCCCTCGCCCATGTCCCAAGTGCCGCGATCCTTGGTCCCCTTGGTTCGGCAGGCCACCTTCTCTGCCCCCCCCTTCCTTGTGGCACTGACCCTCCTCTTCTTCCCGCCTATGTCCCCGAAGGTGTCCCAATCAATGGCACACTCGGCGGCCTCATCCTCACTCCCTTCATCGTCCACCTCCTCCACAACCTCTTGAGGGAGAGGTGGAAACGGGTCACTGCTGTTTGCCGTGAACTTGCGTGCCTGAAGATCAGCAAATAGCAGAGCACGGGCCTCCACCCTCTTGTCAAAAGAGGCCCGAGCGCGCCGGCTGAACGCCACCCATGTGACATCGATCATGGTCTCGGCGTTCAGCTTGTTCCGCACATGCGCGACGGAGCTCGTGGCATGGTGGGATTACTAACCTAAGTCGGTCGAAATTAGGACGCGATGCAGCGCGTATGAACGAACCGGGGGTAAATGTGCCTAGTTGGGGTTGAGAGCTGAATCTGAAGTGTGGATAGCTGAATTCGCGATTTCACCTTTATGCTCTTACCTTGCTTGGAGCTGCTCCACAATTGTTTCACACCAACTTGGCAAGGTGGGGGGGATTCGTTGTACAAACGGCATCGCGAAATGAGTCGCGCATTGGGCGCGCTATGGGCCGCAAAATTCCAAACGGGTGTTGCTGAAAGCTAAGTTGCTACAAACGCTCTGGCAGACGCGCGTTTAGCGTTCAAACGCTTGCGTTTGAACGCAAACGCCAAACGAACCCTAAAACGCAAACGCTCGCTGGGTTTTTTTTTCGGGCTGCCCCCGGAAAAAAAGTCAAAAAAATTTGGCGCGAAATTGAGACTCGGCGAATTCAGCGCGACATTCGCCAAGTCCCAACTCCCAACCATCTCGTCAATATTCACCTCCCAACCAACTCCCCCCCCCCCACCGCACTCCACACATCGTCAACTAGAGCTTCCAACCCCTCCTCCTCACATCTCGTAGTTTCACGCTAACTCTCCCGTCAGATCTGCTTCCCCCGTCATATCTGCTTTCTAATTGCCGCGCACCATAGCCTTAAGGGCGCTCGGCCATGTCAACCCCTGAGAGCGATGTGGATGTTGATGTTACACCGTCCGCATGTTCTAATGCGTACGAGGCGGATAAGAACCATGAGGTCTATAAATACTTTCGCGTTCTAGTCAAGGAGGCCGGTGCAATGCAGAAATACGAGTGTCGCTTTTGTGGGCACAAGATGGCCGGTAGTCCCAACCGTTGCGCCGCACATTTCACCAAGTGGAATGGACAAGGGCGGCGGGAGGTGAAGGAGTGTACGAAGGCGTCTAGCGAGGTACGGGAAGAAATGCGCGTGCTTTATGAGACCAAGGCGAATGCGAAGGCTGAGAAAAAAAAGGCGGAGGAGGATGCTTTGGCTGCAGTTGGTGGCGGTGGGAAGCGAAACAAGATTACTGGCTATTTCAGTGGGGAGAAGCAATGCGTCAAAGAAGAGGCAGACGTGGCTTTGGCGCTCATGTTCGCCGGCCTCCGAATCCCCGAACATCATGCGGCGCATCCGCTCTTCCTCGACGCTCTCCGAGCGGTCGCTCGCGCTGGACCGTCGTACGTGCCGCCCGGGCGCGCCTACATCGGTGGCGCCGGGTTGAAGGAGTGCCGCAAGCGCATTGAGCTAGCGCTAGATCCGGTCGCGAAGACTTGGAAGCGCCATGGTGTGACCGTTGCGTCGGACATGATGACCGACCGCTGCGGGCGCCCACAGGCGAACATCATGCTGGTGAATGACGCGGGTGCCATGTTCGCGGAGAGCATCGACTGCCGGATGGAAACCAAAACCGGCGGATACATAGCCAGCCTCCTTCGCCCGGTGATCGAGAAGATTGGACCGCAGAATGTCGTCGCGCTCTGCACGGACGGGGGGAGTAACTATGGGGCTGCCACGCGGGTGTTGAGGGAGGAGTGGCCGCACATTGAGCATGTACCATGCGCCACGCATGTGATGGACCTGCTGATGGAGGATGTGGGGAAGCAGGCATGGGCGAAGAAGGTGGTGGAGCGTGCAAACGAAGTCATCAACTACGTGCGCAACCACCACTGGACCCGGAACTACCTGCGCGAGCCGGGGGAGCTGAACGGGAAGGTATTGCAGATGTTGAAACCGGCAGGGACTCGTTTCGGCACCCAATACATAGCGGTGTCCCGCGTTGTGGAGCTGCAGGAGAAATTGAGGGTGATGGTGGCGGGCGATGTGTGGAAGGGGTGGGCTGTTGGGAAGCAGAAGGCGGCAGCAGAATCCGTTGAGAACATCGTGGGTGACAAGGCGTGGTGGGCAGCAGCTGAGTTCTTCACCAAGCTGCTGAAACTGCCGTATGTCGTCATGCGTGCAACCGACTCAACCGCTAAGGGGATGATGGGTCAGATCTACGACTTGATGCTGAAGCTGACTGAGGACGTGCACAACCTGCTCAAGGAGGAGGACAAGCAACTGACGCTGGGGGAGAAGGAGGCGATTGAGGAGATTGTGCAGCGGAGGTGGGATCTATCCATGGCCTCTCCCCTCCATGCTGTTGGTCGGATCCTCAATCCGGTCAACCAGGAGGAGAAATTTTTTGGGCCCGATGAGGAGTGCACCAATGTGTTCAAAGAGTTCATAGCGCGCTACGGCAGCGGCTTGACTATCACCAGGAAGAAGGTGATGGGAAAGAGTGGGGCAGCTGTTCTGCAGGAGGGGGTTAGTGCGTTCTTGAATATGAAGGGGAGTTTTGGCATGCCGGAAGCAGTACAGCAGCGGCAGCAGGTGAAGGAGGGGGGTATGTTGATGGAGCAGTGGTGGACTTGGCATGGAACAGATTACCCCGAGCTCGCAGAGCTGGCTTGCCGTGTGCTCACGCAGCCGGTGTCCGCGTCTAGCTGCGAGCGCGGTTGGTCTATGTGGGAAGCTGTGCACACGGCGCGCAGGAACCGGCTGGGTTCCGAGAAGTGTAGGGACCTCGTGTATGTTGCGCACAACTGGCATGTTGTGCACAACTGGCACAAGTCCCTCGACAGGACTACGCGTGTGCTCGCCGGGAACATCCCGGCGGCTCCCATCCCCAAAGGCTACAATGTTGATGCAGACGGGGAGTTAGAGGATGATGAGGAGGGGATTGACCCCGTGCTCGCGGACGAATACGGGGAGGAGGAGTGGGTGGGTGCGGAGTAGCATGGACGGATAGATGGCACGAAGCAGTGTTGGGGAAGGGCGGGGGGGAGTGGTTGTTGTTGTGTTTGGGGAGGGAGAATGGGCTTTAGGACATGTGTTTTGCATGACATTTGAGGATGCTTGCATAAATGTTCATGAAGGATTTTATTTTTTTGGACAAAATGGCTGCTTGCAGAACCCCCATTTCCCCACCCCCCCACAGAAAAATTTTACCCCTGCCCGGGCAAATTTTTTAGCCCTGCCCGGGCAAGCGTTTGCCTAGCGTTCACATACACTATGACAAGCGTTTAGCGTTCAAACGCTAGCGTTTGAACGCTAGCGTTCAAACGCCAAACGCGTTTGTAGCAACTAAGGCTGAAAGTTCGCAACGGCAATGCGAAATGCACAAAATGTGCGGTTTGGGATGAGGTTGCATTCGCGCTTCGGGAAAATGTTGAGCGAACAGTTTCCCAACAGGGCGAGCAAACCCAACCACATAACAAGACCTCGATTGGCAATTATAAACCTAGTACACCTCCGATTAAAAAAAACGACCGTATAATACGACCGTTTTTTTGCACACACATGAAAACGCACCCAAGGCCGTTTTTTTCCGTATTAAACGGTCGTATATTTCGGTACAGTATGATACGGGCTAAAAAGGAAAAATACGCCGTTTTTTTGTACCTTGAGTGAAGTATGTTGTTTCCCCTGCCCGAGACACGCCATTGTGGCAGGCCATTAGTAGCTGGAGCATGGCAGGGTGGCACTTTGTACCTGCCCAGATGGTTTCTTGCTGTGCGGGATTTCACATGACGCCACTTACAGCAGCTTGAGAGCAGAGAGGAGCCCAAGTGACTCAGGAATGGACCCTGTCAGCTGATTGCTTGTCAAATGGCTGTGCAGGGAGAAAGCGAGCACAGAAAGCCACGCGAGGATGGATGGAAGGGCAAGAGAAGAGAATGAATTCCACAGCGAGAATGAAGGATGGAGAGGGGATGATAGATGAGGGCACGATGTACTCCACTGCGTTCCATGCTGCCATGTTTGCACCGTGGCTCAAGTGTGTGTCTACCGACTGAGTGGCGATGTGGTGCATGCATCAGGGTACATGCATCGAGTCAGCAACACAGACACAAATGAGAATCATACCAAACACACGACAGGAGCAATAACAACCCTTAAGGCGCGGCTTGGCAAAAGACCCTCACAGTCGTGTGAGGCTGTGCAGGTGACTGAGAGTGCCAGGTATGGTGCCAGTGAGCAGGTTGTAGTGCAAGGCACTGGGGTTGGTGAGGAGACAGAGGAGGGATGCAGAAAGTCGCACATTGAAAATCCCTACGCGAAAGTGGTTGGATGGAATGGAACTATGTGATGGAGTGTAAAAACTCCATCCCTCAAAGCTAGTCGCAAGCACCTATTGACAGGCAACAAAGTCCATATAGCGCTTGTAAGCTAGCACAAGCGCAAACATCCAACCACCCATGGGGGCCAGCATACAGGGTCTTTAGTGAGGCCATGTTGCCCATTGACGAAGGGATGCTTCCAGAGAAGTGGTTGTAAGTTAGGAACCTGCACGTGCAGTAGGCAGGAGGAAGCAAGAGAGGGCCTACGGTTCATGCTGTTGACACCCTACAGGGGTCCTTGCGTTTTGGTGTACGAATTGTTACAATCACGCAAGTTTAAGCACCTCTAAGATTCAGGTAATGAATACAGTCAGACCACAACTCTCTGGAGGTGCCCAACATTATTTTGTTGTGCACACCTACACGGACTAAAAAATATCGTGTTCCCTGTATCGACTGACTTTCTTTTGCACTTGGCACCTGGCATGACGAAAGTTGTTGTAAGCAGTTGCAATAGCAGGTGAGGGGCACGGTAAAACTTCTGGTGTTGCGGAACTGCATCGGTGGTTCAGCCATGGTGCACCGGTGAAACAAACCAATCGGCTGAACAGCCCACGCCACAAGTTAGGTTGCTCGATAACTACCGGATTGTCTGCTCTCGTGACTTCGCCCACTCCTTGCCAATGTTAGATTGAGAATTCTAAAAAATGACTCCACCTTGCCGATGTCAGCCTGGCCACGACCACCTATCGTGCCCACCTTACTTCGGTCTGCAATCAGCAGCTTTCTCACCCGGGAATCTGTAAACGTGCTAGTTGTCCATCTCTAGTGGCGTCCCAGTCTGGATAGGGAAAAAAACAATTCAGAAAAAAATGCCTGCCTGGAAAGTATACTTCGCGGGTGGGCTTCCATCCAGGTGTTAGACCAATCTTAGGTCAACACGTGTAGCTCACAAGCGAGAGACAAGTGTGGCTCACAAACTTGTGAGGGAAGTGAAATTGCCGAGTTCACTTGGAAGAGAACCATTGAAGGAATTTTGGGCGAGATTCCTGGGGGATGGGAAGGGCATGAAACGCCGACAAAGTAGCATGAGGGGTTGAGATGCATGGAGCTTCTTGAGTGGCGTTCTCCACATCCACATGTGTAGCACAAACACGCATCCAGTGACCTAACTGCACCAACTGCAACGGCTGCTATCCGCAAGTATGTCAAAAGGTAGCACAGGGCCAATTGTCCAGGTCCCATCGCCAACGGCTAGCCTTAGGAGACCCGCACCTAATGCCTGAGATGCAGACCCCTTGGCTGATCACCACTTTATCTAGTGCCTCGCTCTGTAAGCCCGTGGGTGCCTCTCCAACTTCACCCTAGCAACCCAAACACCGCCACCAAGGCTCGATGAGCCGTCATCAGACATACAGGCAGTGCATCGCGTAGCCTTCTCCTTCGCACACATGTCAAAGCTCCCGCTCGCCGCTGTGCCAGGCGGGTGGCTCTCAACCCCTACCACCTACTGCCACATGAGCCCATTAGCCCACGATTTCTGGCTCACACTGCCATCTTCCGGAGGACAAATGAGAAGCACGTGAGTTCATCCCAAGAAGCTCAGTCCATGTAAAGGCAAGCACAGCGGGGGCAAGCAGTGACAAGGTGGAATAAGGTTTGCTCCGCTGTGCTACTTCGCGCCTCGTGCTTCTGTGCGGCCGCCCCTAGAGATCCCTGGATGTATCTGGATGCTGCTGAGGAAACAGCAAGACCCACATGATGCTTTGCTCGAACTTGCTGCCACGCCGCCCTTTTCATTTCCAAAACAGCTACCACAGCAGTCCTTCTAGCCTCTTCATCACGACCTCGGGGAGTGAGCTGCCGCTTCCAGTAAGTTCCTGCCTTTCTTCTCCTCAGCCAGGCCGTGCCTCCCTTTGCTTGGCTCCGCCACAATACATGAGTGCCTTTCCTTGGTTTGTTTCCTCTTTGCCCGTAGTTGACAACATTTGAGCAAAGACTACAGTTCAAGGGACAAAAAAAAGGGGTGGGCGCGGGGGGAAGAGGGAGGGGTGGAGGTCAGGACTGACAGATCTTTGAGTTGCGGCAAGTTGGACAGAGGGGTGATTGGCCCGGATAGGAGGTTGTTAGCAAGGTATCTGAGGACGTGTGGGAGAGAGTGGAAGGGTGATGGGGAATTCTGCCATGGTCAGCAGCATGAACTTGCAAGGAGGCTTCAGCCATGCAAAACAGGACATAATGACGCCCTGCCATAATGCCATTGCAGGTTGTACTTGGAAAATCCGTGAAGGTGCGAGTTTCCATGTGAGCGTGTAAGCTGTGCTCGCGAACTGGGGCTGCAAACTTGCAAGCATGCACACATGAAGGGATGCGTGCACGTGTAGTGGAGGCAGCAACAACTGCTACACCCACAGGTATTCCAAGTTGGTGAGGCGGCTGAAGCCACCAGGGAGAGTGCCTGTGATGGAATTGCCTGATAACACACTTCACCAAGGCAGTCAGGTGTGGAGGTGAGCCATGCACGAGCAGGCAGATGCAACGCACAAGAGGGCGAATGTTAAAAAGAACATGGAGTAGGGATGGGAATGTGAGTGGTAAGCCTCCAAGTTGAGTGGTGCATGATGAGAGGAGGCTGGTGTGCCGGCTGATTCCAGAAACCAGCATTGAGTTGTATAGAGTGGGCGCATATGTAACAAAGGAGTTCCCGGCGGGGTGTGTGTGTGGTTGGTGGTGGGGGTTGGGGAGGGGGGAAGGGGCGGGAAGGGGCTTAGAAGCACTGTACGCAAAATTTGCCTGCCCGGATAGCGTACACAAGGCCCCCAACCGAGCGTATTGCATACATACACTGGTGTATCAGACACCATACGTGAGAAGGGGGGGAACGGGAAATTTTACAACACGCAGAAGGCTTACAGCGTATTCAGTTGTGTCATTCTAGAAAGGGCATCTGGTATGGTGCCTGTGACCTCGCAGAAAATAAGCAATCTGAGAGTCAAGGAGGGGGGCAAGCAAGGGGACGAGTGGCAGCGGAAGTGAGGGATGGAGGAACGGAAGAGAGGGCACGGATAGAGGGCACGGCTGCATACGATTGGGGTTGGGTGCGAAGTGGAAAGGAGATTGATCGGGGGGCATGCGGACCGCCAGTAGGTGGGCGAGCAGAGAAGCAGCAGGGAAGGGACCACACACATGGTGCCCGAGGGCCCCCCGAAGAGGAAGACCCATTGGGTGTCATCGGCCTAGAAATGGAAACCCATGGGTGGGCCCCATGCCCCTTTCACCACCGCATATATGGCATGGCAGCTCCTAGCCACCCACCCAGGTAAGGCACGCTCCCACACACACCGCCATATGATCCCAGCAGTCACTGGCTGCTGCACGCCACTCCTACCCTGTACACTGTTTGCTAGGTCTACCATTCCGTTTCCCTGCATGAACCTCGTCCGCAATGACAAGGACTAGGCCTGTGCAGAGGGCCAGTCTTGGCCAAGACGGGTCAGCCACGATGGGCCGGGGTGGCCCAAGTTGAGCCGCGCCCGGCTGGCCCTCGGCCCTATTGTACCCCTCCCTGCGCGCTTTGGTCTACATCGGTCTAGATTTGGACTAGATTCGACAATATATGAGACTGTTAAGGGTAGGTGACTAGTCTAATTATGCAGATGGGTGGATGTTGTGCAGGGAGAAGGGGGGAGGGGCTTGGAACAATATTAGGGTTGGGCGAAATGCCTTCCCGGGCAAGCCGAGCGGCCGTGGCCGGCCTGTCCCATCGAAACGGGCCAGGCCGGGAAGAACGGGCGACCACAGTCTGTCCGAACACAGGCCGCGACGGGCCGGCCCCTCCCCGGCCTGGCCCTCTACACTACACATGCCTAACAAGGACCATAGGGGGTGATGTGTCGCAGAGGCACAAGGAAAGTTGTAACAGCATCACAGAAGGAAATAACAGTGTTCAGTATTATGAGTAGGTGTGCTAGTGGTCTTAATCTGATAGCACTGTGCAGGGGGCGCAGAGCGAGCCAGTGTACCATTGATTCGATCCTGCTTCCAGTAGCTTCTAGCCTCGCCTGAGAGAGCAACGTTGAAAGAGCAAGAGCTCACAGGGTTTCAAGGCGATGGAAGCGGGTGATCATGGTGGGAAGTGGCACTCCAAAGTTCTTCATGGTAAGCATTCTGAGACACGGATGAGGTTGGGTGCATCCAGGGGCTTAGACCTCCAGAGAGGAAATACCGCATGAGATGCAGTAAGATGCAGTGGGAAAACTGCCATGGATGATATGAGCTGCACGCAGAGTGCCAACTGAAGGCTCACTCCACAGGATACGCGCGCGAATAAACCGCAATGTCCGTATCTGTGATGGGGAGCAGCGACGGTGTGGCAGCATGGGATGAGAGTGCGCTCACAAGGCAAGGACGAATCCATCCCTGTCACAAAAGACGCCCTCCATGGCCGTGCAGTCCGCATGGCGCAACCCCCCCCAAGATTCGCTGCCGTTGAAGCCGTTCCACTCGCTGGCCAGCAAGGCGAGACTCGTGGCTGGGGGGGGCGAGGCACAGACGGGGTGAGGCACGGATGGGATGAGGCATGGATAGGGTGAGGCCTGGATGGGTGGTGAGGCAGGGAGATGCAGGAGGCAAACGGTAGGCGAGGACGAGGAATGGCTAGGGATTGCAGGGGGGGACAGCTGGTGTACTGCCTGCTGCGTGTGCTACCCAAGGTGCACGACGTCTGAGGAGGTTAAAACGCAACAGCTGCGACCCTGAACAACACTCGATTTGCAGAGCCCCCGGGGAACGAGATGTTACACTTGGTATCAGAGCCCAAGCGTTCGAGTCCCCAAAGTCACATATTTTCCGCCTGACCAGAGTGGTCGTATAGGATGTGTAACCAGGGCGAACCCAATGAACGATCTGTCCGCTGGCCTGGCCCTCCGGCGAGGTCGCTGCTGCCTCTCAGCGAAATGCGCGAGGTCCTTGCGAGGACGTTGGCACGACTCCCTGAACCAACGAGGACGTTGGCACCAGGGGGGACGACTGTAACCTCTGAGGACGTTAAAACGCACCTGCTGCGACCCTGAACAGCACTCGTTTTGCCCAGTGGTAAGGGGAACGACATGCTACACCCATATTCACTAGTAGTACCAAGAAATGGTTTGTCCAACGAGCCTACCATCTCTCGGGTGCAGTCGCACAGCTGCTGCACTCCAGGGGGCCACAAGGCACGCCAGCAGCAGCAGATGCAGCTCCAGCCCTCGCTGCGGCTCCTGCTGGGGACGAGCATCAAGGCACAATGGCGATGATAGTCGTGAATAAGGACGAAACGGACTCTGTCTCTTTACTACCAGGCGCAATTTTGCCACCAATGCTCCCCTCGCTCCTCCGTTTTTCGCTTAAGCTCGCGCCAGCGGAGGGCACAAGAAGTGCACCACAATCACCGCGGGGCAAAGGCTTTTGCTGCGAGAAGCGCGCGGTGCGGCGATCGCTACTGCTCGCCGGGTACACCGGCCTGTTCGCTCCAGTGAGAGCTTCGTGGGTAGCTCGCTGGATGGGAGTTACGAGGAGGGCTTACACGGTCTGTCGGCATGGCGGTCGCGAATCCGCTCGGCGCGCAGTGTGAGGCTCGTCTCGACCGACTCGTCCCTCTCGGGGAATAGGCTTGTGGCAGTAAGGAACCAGGAAAGAAAGAACTGAGGAAGGCGCATGTTCAGGGTGGGGTGCTCAACTGAGAAAGGTTCGGTTCATCGGGTTCGTTCGAACTTAGTCAGGTTACTGTTTTTGCAAATTTTGACGAGGAACTCGCAGGCAGAACACTGCAAAACTGGAGAAACATTCACCAGATCGTTCGAAATGCTTTCAACTTCAACGTCCGTCGACGACAGTCGCGAAGACAATGCAGCCGTAAACCGCGTTTCGTAGGGACGCAAGTGCACTGAAATCTGGGTTTGGCGATGCGCGAAGACATTTCGCGACAGCTCTGTGTCGTACCACTTCGATTGAGCGGCCAATCGAAAAAAAAAAAGTTCGAGAAAGTCACAAACCAGCCCTTCGTTGGCATCTCTCCATCACCTGCCTGTCAGGTAGCCGGACTGGGAACAGCGCCGACGAGAGACAAGTGGGGGGATTCACTTCTTTGTAACATATATTAGAGGTTATGCACGGCTGTATGGTTTTTTGGCCCAAATCCGTTAAAGTAACGGAGTTGACTAAACAGAGGATAATGCGTGGCGGAAGACACGCGAAAGAAGTATTGGTATACAAAAAAGGGTAAGTAAGTATATTAGGGGCCTCGATAACATGTACGGTCAGTAGCACGATATAAACAATCAGAATTAATGAGTATGCAACATGATTCATCAGTCGGGTTCCACCGTTGGATGGAAACTGCAGGAAAAAAGTTCCACGAATGGTCAGTAAAAGTAACCCCCGCCCGCCTCGAAACGTTTACCTGCCCGCGCCAGCCCAATTTCGTCATCATTGTGGCTGGCGCGATATTTTTCCCGAGCCCATGCGCACTTCGAGCGAAAAACGCACAATACCCAAATTAAAAATCATTGAACATTTGTTAGTCCAGAAACATGGAAAAACGATTTTGTTTCGAAGCACACACTTTCGTCACAGTGAGAGCGCGTCCCGCGATGATTAAAAATGGCGGCTTTGTCTCTACCGCATGTAGGGCCCCAAAAAAAAGTCAAGCCATAAACTTATTGTCATTCCCGAGTCGCCTGAAAACAATAAAATATATAGATAGCTACGGAGGTTTATTTTTGAAAAAATGAATATGTTTGAAAGCGTGTTAAGGTACTCTCAGAATGGCTCTTAATTTTGTATTAATTTCAATACAACAAATCTATTATAAGTCTGCTGGTTGTCTTTTGATTTTATCAACAAATGTATTTACCGAAAACAAAATCGCCGAATTACGACTCTACCGGTCTTTTAATGCTCGAAACAAATTAGCACATGCGCATTACAGTTTAATATTAACGCCTCATTGGCTTAGCGCCGATCCCTGATAGATTTGCCCTCGTGTCAAATGTTTTCGCTTTTTTTTTTGTGTTTGTTAATGTTTGAAAAATGTTGCACCCGATGTGCAGCTCGCTGTGGCCCAATTTGCTTGTGACATAAATGTGCAAGGTCTCAATTTTAGAATTTTGTGTTGGTCACGTCCAACGATTGTTTATTCAGATATACAGAAAATGGTACATAAAATGACTGATTACATTGGCAAATACAAGCAATGTTTGTATAGCATTAACGATTGTTAGAAAATGGTATGTGTGATAGAATGCAATTACTCGGCGAGATTGGAGTGCCTTGATGCAGTTGGAAATGTTAGATGGATGGGGAGAAGATGTGGTTGGGATGGGTTGGATTGCGCTGCCAGGGGAAATTATACGTGAACAACAAACTGTCTTATAATTCTACCACCCCTCCTTATGAGGCGACGTCCATGATGCCGAGTGACCCACTCGGATTACCCTTGAGAAGATCCTCGAGGAAGGACCACAGGTGTAGAGCCTAGGGGGCTATGGGCGCAGTCACCCGCTATCAACAAGCCCTTTTAACTCAGTGGTCTAGTGGCTGAGTTTCTGACACATGGTGCATGCAGCATGAAGATACGCATGGTGGCACGAGTTGTCAGGAGACAGCGAAGACGAAGTAACCCAGCTATCATCTGCAGCGTCATTACCACGACAACGGACCAAGAAATTGATCAAGGATACACCCAACTTAAGTCGGTGACGGTGATCGGGGAAGCATTGGATCTGGTAGTGGGGCTCGTCAGTGTCAATGGTTATTGGCAGTAATGTGCGATCACGACCACAGATTGTGATATTGGGATAAGTGCAAATGCGAAGGAGTGACGCACGAGAATTGGGATGCATGCAAAAGTGTGCAGGAAGACGAAGACGGCATGCAGCTAGACCTATCATACGCTCAATGATGAATGGACCAATAAGACAAGGGCAGTGCTTGCTGTCGTGTGGAAGACGAAGTTTTCGACTATCGAGAACCACTCAATCGCCGACAAAAAATGATACGTCTCGACAACTACGGTTGGTGGTGTGTGCCATGTGTGCATTTGCAAGGTTAATGTGCTTCCTCACTTGATCATGAATGAAAGTTAGATGCTCATGGAAGTTGTTGGCATGCGGGACTGTGGGTGTGATGTCGACACGAATGGGGACATTGGGATGACTGTACAGGGCGAAGAACGGTGACATGCAAGTGGATGCGTATTGCATATTGTTGTAGGCAAATTTAGCCATGCTCAATTCCCTATCCCAAGCACCTGCATAGTGCGCAATGATGTTGCGAAGGGTTTCCTGCAATGAAACGCTTAGTTTGCTCATCCTTTTCCAGGTGATATGCGGAAGACATAGATAAATGAGTCCCAAAATGAGCGAAGAGCGGCTTCCATAATTTTGAAGTGAAACGAGGATCGTGGTCTCAGATGATAGAATATGAAATCCCGTGTAGTCGCACTTGGCAGGTAATTACAATGGATTTCATTATGGCTCTACCACGACGCCATGTTCGTTGTAGTGGATAAGTTCTCTAGAGCAGCACACTTCATCAAAACGCATGGCAAAGTCATAGTAGAGAAAGGCGCAACATTGTGCGATGGTGAGAGGACTTAATGTGCTAGCATGTGTTACACGGGCTTAAGTAATCCTCTACGTCGCTTGTAAAGTTCTGGCAAAAAATAGGTGCAACTAAGATTCTGAAATAATCTTATCCACCATGGAATGACCTGCACTTGTTGTGTCGTGCGTATATTAGAGTAGGAGCTAGCATAAGAGGTGGTAGGCGGCAACCCAATATGTGGATTAACCTTCCAAATGACTGCACTACCCTACACCTCTAACCTATGGGCGGCTACGGTGCGAAGTCCAGATCTATTGTTTATCTGTGCTCGAAGAGTGTTGTGAGAAGTGAATGGCTAGTAGTGACTGTAAGGCAACCGACCTGGCAGCTAGGGCGAGTGAGCGCATCTGCTGGGTCGCGTACGCATGGTTTGTACGCTATCTTGTACTTGAAAGTTGCGGTTGGGACTTGAGGAACCTTAGCGAGCAATGATCAATGCGGGTCAAATTATCCCCCGATAGAACCTCCATAACTTATACGCATGATTGGTTGCTAGTGCTTCCTTGTCATGGATCGGATAGGTTCAGCTCTGCACTTTTGGGGCATCGAAGTATAAAAGTAGCGAGTTCGCTCTAGTAGGGCATGGAGGTAACATATATCAGTTTATCTTGTACTCTCTAACAGCACACATCTGACTAGCCTATAAATATACATACAATATATAAGTATATGTTGACACAACCCCTAGGCTAGATAAGGGGCAGTGCCTAGCAAGAGACACACAACTCAGGGCGTCACTACCAGTCCAACCTTTGAGACAGGGATGCGAAGACCAGTCAACAAGAGTACAGACTACAGTAAACAAGAGTAACTTAGGGCGGCACTACGAGACCTGCCACTGAGACAAAAGCCACAAGGCCAGTTGAGACAAAAAGATTTAGTACACAAGTCAGGGTACTAGCAAGTGAGGAGCTACTGGAACTAGACGACGCTGTAAGTAGTACCAGTGATGATCTCAGGCGCAAGCGCCTTAGTAAAGATATCAGTTGTGTTGGCATTGTAGGCTAAGTGTACTACGCATGCCTGGCCGCGCTGCTGTAGCTCGTGTAGGAGGAAGTACCGTAGCTAGATGTGCTTCGTTCTACCCTCTAGTCAAGGCTCCTGACACGGGAGGATTATGGCTCTGTTGTCAGTGTACAGGACCGGGGCAGAGCTAGGCCACTCACACAATTCAGTGATGAAGATCGTCAGCCAGCGGAGCTCCTGTGCCACCATGGCACCAGAGTAGATCCCAACCTCACAGCTGGACTGTGCAATAGACCACGAGCGGGTGGACCTCGACAAGGTGGCGCCTGCACCAAGGCTAAAATAGTAGCTCTGGGAGGACCTAAGCCTCTGAGCGTCGTCCGCCCATGAAGCATCTGTGTGCCCAGTAAGAACCACAGACTTGCGTCCTCCCAGCACTAGTCCCATAACTGATGTACTTGCCTACCCTCAAGCTCACAAGTACAGGTACATGAGGCAGCCCACAAGCTTTGCGTACTGACCAATATGCTTAAGCAGCTCATCTGTGAGAGTACGACCCCGTTACCACTTGCCTTTCCTTATTTCCTTTCTATTTCATTTCTCTTTTTATCTCATCTCCATTGGTTTCCTATTCTTCCTTTCTCATTATCCTTTGGTTTATCATATTATTATAATTATATCAAAGACCAGGCTCGGGATGTACTGGCGCACTATATCTAGCGTTATTCTGCCGTAATACCTTAAAGACAATAGCCTCGCATGGCTATACGCAGGGTGATTCATTTCTAGAAGGGTCTATTCCCTCTGGATAGGATAAACCCGGCTGATGTACTCTGGAAGTATGAAAGCGCCTTGTATCAATCGATAGTGCAACTTTTTCTCGACACATTCGATACTGTAACACTTGGTAATCACAGCCTTTCTCACTCGGCCGCGCTCGACAAAGCAGCAGCAGCGGGAAAACCTGCCTCAAACGTTTCAAGCCGATAAATTCAGGTTTCCTTGCCCGGGAAAAAACTCATCGCCATCTACAGTTCGGGAGTGTAGCGCAGTACACGCAGCAGATGGAGGAATTTTATAACCGCATTCCCGACCTGACC